CGGGCCTATGTCCCGCCCTCTAGGTCTTTCCTGATTTTCTCCCACATCGACTGGTGACTCTCCTGCGTTCCGCCCCACTTCCCTGACCTCTCCCACTTCCTCTGTATTTTCAGCTCCCTGAAAAACCAAACCAGCTGCGGTGTGGGGGGCTTGCCCTGTGTCCACAGTCTCAGCCTCCTCTTTTGGAATCTCGGGAACACTGGACTGGGTGTCAGGAGACCTGGGTTGTGGTCCTGGCTCTTCCGGCAACTTCCTCCTGAGCCCTGGAGAGCGACTCATGCCGCGGGCTCCCTGGGCTGGTGGGTGGCACTGTAATCACCAGGGTTGTTCATAGTCCTGACACAGAGGGGCAGGCTGAGTCCCGCATCAGAGCTTTCTCCCTGCCTGTGAATAGGAGCAGCCCTGGGCGAGCACCGTGCATTGAGAAGTGCGTGGCTCTGGGATCTCCAGGAGGAAGGGGTGATCGGAATAGCCAGGAAGAGGATGAGTGGTGGTGGTGTGGGGGTGTGTGTGTGTGTGTCTGGGTGTGGGGTGAGGGGACAGTGGGGACAGTCCCCCTTGCAGATCTGGGGGGACATACCAACTAGAGAAGCCCTGAGAAGGTAGCCCAGCAGTACCGGGATGAGGAAGGAGAGCTCCCCCTCCAGGTCCCCTGGCTCTGCCGAGCTGCCTGGGCCCTGGCCTCCCAGGAGGAGCCATAGTCTGGACTTGGAAGAGAGGGTGGCAGGCACGACTTGAGGGATTACTGGAGACGCCGCGACTCGTATCCTGGGGCGCTCTCCCTCAGTCTGCTCTGCCTGGGGAGCTCCTTTGCAAGACCCGCTTTACACCTGAGAGTGACTTGGACCGTCATGGCCCTAATTGCTTAAATTAAACCTCACCAACTCCTCCCTGGTGGGAGTCACTGGGCCAAGGGAGGCAAGGAAGGAGCGGGATCCTTCCCTTCTGGAAGCTGATACTTCAGGTGGGGCAGGCAGTGGAATGAGTAATCACCAGTTAGGGTAAGTGCCACGACATGAATAGTCCGGCTGCCTTCATGGGGCATGAGCAGTTTAGGACCTTTTTGTGGAGGGGTCAGTCACACTGAGATGTGGAGCTTATGATGGGCAAGCGCCACATCCTGCTTGCCTCTAAAAGCTCCAATGCTGAGAAACATGCCTGGAACTTATTATAAAATTGGTATAATTTTTCTGGCAGGTATTCAATGACTCTTTGATGAATAAATAAATGATCTCCTTCCAGCAGTTCCCATTTAAAGCACCAGGTACTTAATCACACGAAGACTATGATGTCAAACCAATCTGATATTTGTATGCCTAGTCTGTCTTTATTTCCTCCTTTCTTGTATGCCCTTCACTAATTTTTGTTCATATGTCCATTTGATGCCACAGGTGTGTTGAGTCCAGACAGGAAAGAACACACACACGTGCACACATATACCACACATTACTAACTGCCTCCATGCCTGCAGATGTTGCAAATTCTATCCGAGAAGCTGTTAAACACTCCCAAATAAAGTGACTCTCGTGTTCTATCACATGCCTCCTTAAACAATCTTTGAATAGTGTTTTCTCTTTATTGCTTTGTGTAGTTTAATCGCACCAATTGCCATTACTCTAGCTTATGATAAATCCCAAATCTATAAAGCTCTTGTTCATTCATTATTTTTCTCTTGTTCTTTCTCACTTATTGTTGGGGAAAGTAGCATGGAGGAGGGAAGGGGAAGAAAATAAAAAGATACCGGATTAACAGGGAAACATGAAATAGGAGACCACTTCTCCTCAGGTGACAGACATCCTACTAAATACTGTTAAACAGAACAAAAACTTTAATACAGCACACGTCTTTTATATTTATTCTAAATGAGAAATATAATGATCACCACCTTATCTTTAATGGAGGAAGCAGGTAATTGTTCTAATATCTCACTAATTCCAGCATCTGGGAGAAGAATAATTATTTTTTGCTATGTTATCAATTGTTCAATATATACCGAAGTGGATGGTGCAGCTTAGACAGAGATTTCTGTTTCTTGAGCTATGTCATAGCTGCTATTCCAGTTCAATTATTCATATGTGGAAGTTATAATTATTTTGAGTATTGGTACAAGATAATTATAAACCATAAAACAGCTTCCCATGCTTGCTGATGTCTTTTCTTGTCTGCAGATGTATCGGAGTTTGGGCATGCGAGTTTTAGAAAGAGAAAAAAAATGTATGAGGTGGCACTTGGGGCAGCAAGACTATCCAGAGTGGGAGCAGGGGAGCCTTGCCCACCCCTCCAGGTCCCTTCTTCCTCTTCTCTGCCCTTCCTGAGCCAAAGGTGACCCACCTCCTGCATGTCTTCTTTTGTCCCACGGTCTTACCCACTCCTATCCTGCCCCCTCCTCGTTAGGTGGGATTTGTAACCACTCACACAACACCCCCTCGTCTCCTTCATCCCGAGACAGCAGCAGCTACTGTGTGTGTGGTTGTGGCGAGTACGTGCATGAACGTGTGCACGGGGGCACTTGGGAGGGGAGAGAACCACACACAGAGAGGGAGGCGGGGTGAGGCGTCAGCTGCCCTGGGCCGTTGCAGATGCCTCCGCTGCCCCCTCTGTCTGATTACCTAGCTTGATTCTCAATTAGTCTTCACCAGGCAGAGGGCCCAGGTTGGATTAAGGCACTTGAGATCTATCATTCTTAACCGGCTCAATCATAGCAGTTGAAAGTAATAACACAGTTGTGTGGATTGTGTGTGTTTAGAGAGGGGGCTCAGAGAGAAAAGATATTGTTTTGGCATCTTCCCATTTTAAAAAGAAAAACATTTTTAAAATGTTGTTTGAGCTCAGGCATTGCACCAGGGAAGGCTAACTGACCCCTCAGGCAGCCAGGTCCTGGCCTTGCTCTGGAGCCCTTGCCTATCCCCCCGCCTCCCTTCCTTCCTTTACTTAGGCAAGGCCTGCGGAGTGCCTCTCTACCTCATGCTGACTTCTCTTTCTTACCATTTCCCAAACTCCTGGCTCAAAGCATTACCACTGTACTCTTCTGCTATGGCAGATCCACGAAGGCCCCTTGCTATGAACGGAATTGTTTCCCCCTTTCTCTCAATTTCTATGTTGCAGCCGCCACCCCCAGAGCACCTGCATTTGGAGGAAGGGTTTCTAGAGGAGTGGTAGAGGCTAAATGAGGTTGTGTGCATGGGACCTCGATTCAGTAACGTTATCTTCAGAAGAAGAGCCACCGGGGGCTTGCTTTCTCTCTGCCGTGGGAGGACGCAGTGAAGAGGCGACCACCTGCAGGCCGGGAAAGGGGTCTCGCGAGCGCCTGACCACGCTGGCACACCGACCTTGGACTTCCTGACTCCACAGGTTTGAGAAAATAATTTTCTGTGCTTTAAGCTACCCAGCCTGTGGTGTTTTGTTATCGCAGCCCGAGCTGGCTAATAGGACTCCCTCGCCCTTAGCCAAGGAGGGGGAAGTGGAATCGTGTTCGTGAGCCCCGCGATGCCTTTGTAGGCCCCAGGATCTAGAGACCGTATCCTGCTACTCGTCAGACACTCAGAGCTTAAGGTTTCCAATCCAGCCCCGCTCCTGACTTTCGGCTTCCCCAAACTCTGTGAACCTCGCCTTCAACTTCTCTAATGAGGGTCGACAGCAGAACGTCTGCTCAGCACCACGGACAGAGGCGCCGCATCGGCTCCCACAATGGACGAGTTCCTGCCCAGGCTCGTGTGAAGGCTGCGTTGGGAGCGGAGGGGGTGGGCAGAGAAAGAGAACGGTCAGGAAGGGGGGCTGACGGGCAGGCAAGGCAGCCTCCGGCCCGGGCTGTGCTCAGCCCTGGCGCTCCCACAAGTGGGAAGTGGCTTCTAGGTGCCGCCGCCTTCGTACACAGACCAGCAGCAACACGGGGGAGGTGATACTCCTTGTGTTTAGTCGCACGGACCTGCCGCTTGTCAGACTGTCGCCATGATGAGTGTGGTGGCAAACCTATAGCTGGCCCGGCATGGCTTGGGGAGCATAAGAGGGTGTGGGTGTCGTGGACTGTGGGTTGGAGAGGAGAGCCAGCTGAGGAGCATGCGAAGAATGCACTTGAACGACACTCTGGTCTAACTCTAGGGATTGAGATAGCACAGGTGAGTTGCCTCCCCCCTGCCTGGAACAGAGCCCAGAGACTTGGGAGGGGAGGGGTCCGGCTCACAGCAAGCTGAGCTGGTGGCAAGCCAGGGCTTCATTTGTGTGACTTTAATGAATAAATGGCATCCCCAGCCATTGTTTATCTACTTTTGAATCCTGACAAACCGTCTGTGGCGTCTGATGGAGAGGGTTATTAGCTACACGGAGACAGATGGCTGGGGATGAGGGGATTGGCTCTTTATTACCGCAGGCCCGTAAGCAGCAGCACTCCTTCCACATCCTGGCCTCCACATCGCTGCCAGTGCCTTCCCCAGCTTCCGAGACCCAGGCAAGCCTCAGAGGAAGACTTAGTGCCAGAGAAACGCAGAGTGGCCCATGAGTAAGTGGGAGATATAGGGTGAAGGGAGATGGAAAAGAGGCAGGTTCCCAAGGGCGCATTCTTTGAGAATAAAAACTCTACCTTCTTCTTCTTTATTATTGTCTCAAGTGCCCTGCAAAGTGCTGTTAATTCAATAGGCATTTGAGAAACGTGAATGATTGAGGAGAAAGGTAGAGAGGTTCGGATTAGAAAAGATAATAGAGGCAGATTTAATTGGGCCGACTGGGTGGAAAACAAAAGGTAGGGAAGCAAGAGGAAGAGGAAGACGGACCCAGAGGGAGGGGAGAGGTAGGGTGAGGACAAAGGCTTCTGAATCAGCATGTTGCATTTCGGGCATTAGCTGCTCCTCTCCACGCTACCATCTGAATAGCTTCACGGAAATAAAAGCTGGCGTGCCCACTGTCCCTTCTGGTTGTCCCTGGTTCTTTTTCTTGGTACTACAGTTGTAGGGCATAGCTCCCTCCCTCCACATGACCCCCCAGAGGGTAGGCAGGCTCTCACTGACCTTCATTCATTCTCCGAAACTTGTCCTTGGCCATGTAGCCCAGCACCAGACAGCATCCTCTCTTCTGGAGGCCCAGCTCTGGAAGAAAAGCATAGGTGGGTGAGCCAGGAGTGGTCAGGTGTCGATGAACTCCCTTTGCAGGGGATGTGGCGCTTGTTGCTCTTATAAAGAGGGCTACTTATTTATTTTAAAAATATTTACATGGCACTTAATATGGTCCAGGCATAATTCTAAGTCATACATTCCTCATTTGATTGTCACAAACCCATGAGGGACATACCGTTATCCATGTTATACCACCCTCATTTACCTATGTATTTTGTACACAATCTTTGATGAAGGAGCTAGGAAGTGGCTGAACCAGGAGTGGAACCCAGGCAGTCTGGATCCGGAAACCACACTTGTAACGACTACTCATAGGCTAATGAGGCCCAGCATGTCCCAGGCTTGGGGACTGCACCAGGATGGCACTGGGGTTGTGGTCAGGCCTGCCAGAGAAGGGGCAGCATCCAGCCGGTGGTGCCCAGGATGGAGCAGTGCCACCAGACACAGCGCCTCTGGGATGAAGAAGTGATGAACTTGGAGGAAGACACAGGCATTGGGGTAGGGACAAGAAGAGTCTGCTCCTTGGGAGAGAGTGGGTTTCTGGGGCTGGGGGGTCCTGTGCATTTTTAAAAAAAATCCTCACCGGAGGTTAAGTTTACTGATTTGAGAGAGAGAGAGGAAGGGAGGGGGAGGAGAGAGAAAGAGAAAGAGAGAGAGAGATCATTTGACTCTCATATGAGCCTCAACTTGAGATTGAACTGCAACCCAGGCACGTACCCTGATGGGGAACTGAACCCACAACCCTTTTTGGGGTACTCGACGATGCTCCAACCAACTGAACCACCCGGCCAGGGCCTGTGCATGCTTACATCAGGTACCATTCAGCACCATCACCAAGGGCTTCCGTGGTGTGGGCTCAGGGAGAGGCCCTGGGGTTGGCATGGCTAAGAGACAAAACATACACCCTGGCCCCCAAAGCTTTGACTTGATTGGAAAACCAAGTTAGAACGACAGTTCTAGAGAGCAAAAGCAGGGGACAATTTTTTTTCTCAGTATTTTGTAAATCAGTGCCCACTGTGTGCGAACATTGAACGGGGCACTTCCGCCTCACAAGAGGTTGATCTTTCTTCTCCAGTGTTTGTTTATCCTCTCGCTCTGATTTGTCTTAAGCACCTTCTGGGTTCTGAACCAATTTTACCCCACATTTTTCTTCGACCCCCACACGAGACCCATGAGGTAGGCAAATGGGTCCCTGCTCTTCACATGATATAGGTGAGAACATTGAAATTCAAGGATGATAAATGTCTTTCATGATTCTTTTGGACCACTCCCCCCAACCTCTTTTCCTAGAAGTCCTACAACTGTGCCAGCTGCCATAAACTGGGTGATTGAATAAGAGGCATGATTTCTGGAAGACGGAATGTGGTGCACCTTCTCCTGGACCTTGCCGGGCATCCTGGGCACCCAGGTGTTCCCCCCGTCCGTCCCACTGAGCAGTGTGTCGCAGCAACTTCTCCCCCAAACCCTGGCTGCTTTTAGGCTGTTGGAACCTAGACAGGCTGGGCTCATCCCCCTCTCTCCGTCTCCACCCACCTCTTGTTTTCCAGTGCACCCTCCGTGAGCAGAGGATGAAAGGGAGCTCAGGGCCCATGGGAAACAGATAAGTCCAGCACGGGGGCTCCTGCCCTAGAGAAAAACAAAGCGAAGTGGGTGGTGGCAGAATGCCATGGCCCAGGGAGGTCGCCGGCTTTGATCTCTTGATTCTTTAAAGGAGTTTATTGACTATCAGTAAAGAGCAGAGAAGCAGACCTGAGCGTGCCTCATCCAAAGGCTCTCGCTTCTTTTCCCTTCCTTCCACGCTCACCATCTGAAGGCACAGCCAAGCCGCCCTCACTTCAAACAGCCTTGCATCTCTGGCACCCAAATTGACGATGTTAAGTTTCCTCATCCAAGGCCTTGGCTCTTTCTGCAGGGGCTACTACTCTGTAAGGCCATGTGGATCAAAGTCCCTTTGATGTTTACTTACTATATTTGTGGATTCTTTCTAACAACCACCTTCACGAAGCAGGAATGAAGCATGTCAGGAGGGGGGCGGCGGAAGTACAAGCTGTGAGGAGGTGCTGAGCTCCCCGGAACAATAGCCGCTTGCCTGAGACTGCACTGAAACCTCAACATGCCAACAACAGGCAGAGTAAGCCGGTCCATTGTAAGTGCACACGGCTGTTCACCAGCAGAACAATACAGCTGCCAATGATTCTTATTATATTTTCCAGTGACTTTTTATGTGCATCTAAAGCAGTGGCTTCTAATGAGAAAGGGAGCCTGGGCTTCTAGACTGAGCTGGGGAGGAGGCCAGGCGTGGGGGCGGAAAGTGCCAGATGACTGTAGGCCAATATCCTGTTGGCGTTCCTGGAAAGTCCCCTAAGTTTCCAGGGAAATGGAAGGGGCATAATTCTCCTAAGGGTTTAGTGAACGTGGATGACCCGTTGCATCCAGATCATCTCTGGTGGCTGCCTCTGCCACCCCTACTCAACCCATCTGATGTCAACGTAACAGGCGGCCCCCAGAGCCATTGCCGGGGAGAAGAGGCTGTGAATACAGTTATTATAAGGAACAGCCTCACAGACCATGTTTGTTTTTTTGCAGATGACCAAGGAAAGAAGTTTTAAAAACCACTTGATTAATAAAAGAAATGAAGGATGAGGCAATTTCTCAATGTATTTGCCTCATTTAATTTGACACGTGTGGGTTCGTCTTAATTATTTAGGCAGCAACATTACAAGGTGCTAATAAGCACACTGCAGGGATCTGTCAAGCGAGAGGGCTCTCTGACTGAGTCTTGACTGAGAAGTGGGAGAAGCTGGTGAGGTCTTCGCAAAAACAAGCAGGTTGGAGGATTAGTGAGGTGAGCCTTAGTAGCTAGCCACACATGCAAAGCTGGGATTTCTTCAGAGTGGCTGGCCGGAGCTAAATTAGAGGTCCCCGGGTCTGGGTGAGGAAGCTCACCTGCAGGGCTGACGTGGGCGAGGGGAGGGCTCCTGGGAGCCAGGTGAGAGCCGGGCAAGCGGGGCCCAACTGCCCCAGCTTCGGGAAACTCCACCAAGCCAGGCCGACCAGGCTCTTACGGTAGAGATGATCCAGCGTAACAGAAAGGACAGCGTCCTTCCCTTTGTGGCCTACAGCAGCCTCTGTGCTGCCATCTCCCTTGTCACATTGCACTGGGACGGAGGGCGGAGCCAGATCGCGGACATACACTTTACAGCCCACGAAGACCGAGGCCTCTCCACGGAGGCTTGGGGGCTGCAGACTCAGGCCGGGTCCTGCTCCGGGCTGAGCCGCCAGCTGCACCAAAGGCGTCCATGGGAAATGATGAATGTGAAATGAGGGGTCCAGGCTTTACATAAAAGTTCGCTGCAAAGAAGTCCAGGGTCACCTGCAGATGGGGGGCAGGAGGACACTCTCCGAGGAGAACAAAGGTTCAGGAAATAGTGTTGAGCAAGGGCGCAGTTATTAGGAAAGAGTATGCATCTTAGGGAGAAGGGAAGAATTCATCCCAGGAGCTCCTGGCCCTTGGACTGTGAACATCTGGATTGTGCCTTTTTTTCTTTTCTTTTTTCTTTTTCTTTTCTTTCTTTCTTTCTTTTTCTTTCTTTCTTTTCTTTTCTTTTTTTTTTTAAATCTGAGCCCCTGGTCCCAAGCACAGAGCCTGCTGGTTTAATGAAAGGGTGAACTAAAAAAAAAAAAAAAAAATTGGGTAGTGGTCAGTTTTCCTCTACCTGGCCAGGTCAGAATGAAATCAAGTGGGCTTACGAGTGGCACAATGGATTGGTTAGGCCACGAGGGTGGTGGAATGAATGAAAGTTGTAATTCATTGGAACAGGAGTCTAGGAAACGGGAGATTTTCCTCTTGAGAGGAATAAAAAGCTTTATAAATGGAATGGTTTCCCCTCGGCTTCAGAGGGTGAAGATGGGACTTTTTTCTAGCCTTAGGGTTTTTAAATTCTTATTAGTAATAACAATGATCCAGTGATATTACTTCACATTTGTGAAATATGTATTTTTTTCACGATGCTGTCATATTCTCTGTCTCATTAGATACTTACAGTAGCTCTGCGAAGTAGGCACGGTAGAGATTACTTCCCTCATTTTGGTTGCACAATCTGAGGCTCAGAGAAGGAAAATGACAATTCAAGGCCAAAGCACTTGTTGGTAACAATGCTCGGGGTAGAACCCAGGCCTGGTATCTGGCTGAGGTCTGAGGGGAGGGCTGGCTTCCCAGGCCAGGGGCCGCTGCAGGAGCCCAGGGGAGGAGGGAGGGGCCGCAGGCTGCAGGGCGGCCCTCGCAAGGGCCTTGGAGGCTGGGGACTGGCCTGAGGTCCTGCCTTTGTTGGGGGTCCTGCCTGATGGCTTCTCTTATCGGCGTTTGCCCAGCAAGGCCGCGCCTGCGGTGGGGTGCTGGCTGGAGTCTCAGGTCTGGAAAGTTCTCGCCTTGATTCTGCTGAACTGCTTTCTTCATTGGTTCTGCCTCGTCTTGTTTTCAGCATAATCACTCACTTCCCAGGCAATGGCGCTGCCCATAAATCATGCAAAGATCAGTTTTCTGATCAGCCTTTCCAGCACAGGGGCCTGAGGAGAGGCGGAGGTAAGGCTGATCAGTCCTGACGAATCCTGGTGCAGAACTCGGGCCCTCTAGGACAAGCAATAAATGTTTAATAGCCCAATAATACCTGTTTCATAATTTTTGACTCTTATTGCTTGCTAGTTGTAAGTTTATTAAAGGAACTATAAACTTTACATTGTTGTAAGGACATAATTGCTCTTTCATTGCTTATTTAATATGAGTTAATTATATTAAAACTAAGTTTCCCCCTGTTCATATTAAGTATCAATTAGTTGTTTTAAACTATTGATTTGTATTTAATTAACTATGCTATTACGTACCAATTAAATTTTTCTAAGAGAAACCCGAAACGGCTGTGATCTTAAATCTTGTTTTTAAATTAACGAATTACATAAAAAGCCGATGTCGAGTT